AAAAATTAAATGAAATGTGTGAGGAGTTTGCATTAGTCTGTGACGTGATTACCAGGTTTGGCAGCTAGAATGACAAGACAGAGCCAAACTCCTTTGATATTACAGACAGGCTATTGAGGTAAGGGGCTCCAGAGCTCAAAGACTTCTTTGTAAGCCTTCCTATGGCCAGTCAGAATGGCTCCAGCCAGGCAGCCTTTTGCTGACTGTATAAACAAAATAGCATCCACACGGACCCTTGTTTTAGACTCAGTTAACTTAGCAGGAACTCAGTTGGATGGGTCCAAAACCAGCTGTGTTTGATGGACTAGGGAGCTGCCTTTGATCGTAGACTCAGGGATGTCTCCTTTGAATTCCACCAGTGTATCCTCTGGGCTTTGAGGTTTGGTTATGGAATAGTTTATCATTAATAGTAATGGCTCAGTAACTCCCCATAGGCTGTTGAGTAAATAGATGTTAGACTGTGCCAGGGTCAGAAATGGAGGAGTGAGATTGTCCGGCACATCTCCCTGCTTCCTGCGTGGATGTAGTTAATGTTTAAATAGTTTTGTCCAGCATGATTTTGTCATTTTAAATGAGTCAAGTAATTGAACTCTCACTGCTTCTTCCCTAGACAGTCCTTCTAGTCTTTAATTTAGTGAAAGGAGCTAGGATTTATGCATTCTGTTCCTAGCCACTGACAGGCTATGGTTAATAAATCCACCTACCCACTCACCCGCCCACTCCATTGGAAAATGGAGATGCTGTTGCAACTCCCTTAGATGTTTGGTTGAGGTCTTTTTGAAAGGATCATGCCATATTCATTCCTCGGCTTTTTCCCTTTTTTTTTTTTTTTGCTGCTGTTCAGTTGGGGAGGAGGAAAGGTGAGAGAAAAGAAATCCTTGCTAATTAAAAAAAAAAAAAGAAAAGAACATGTCGGTGGGCTTCTGTTACTATTACTAATGAAGCCCATGTTGACTGTCTTTAGCTACCATGTCCTAGGCATTTGATTCTGACAGGTCATCGTGCTACAGTCATAGCTTTTGGTGGAGTTGGAAAGGCCTACCAACATACTAAGCAAAGGAGGATGGCCAGAAACTCTGGGAAAAGTTAAATAAGGTCAATAAGTATTTATTAAGTGACAACTATATTCTAGGCACAGTGTTAAATGCTGGAGAGATAGAGAAAGGTGAAAACAGCATCTGCCCTCAAGGAGACCACAGTTTAATAATAGGAGAGGCAGTATGCAAATAACCATGTGCAGACAAAATGCATTCAGGATAATTGGAGCTGATTAATAGAGGGAAGGCATTAGAAATTAAGGGGATTGGGAAAGGCTTCCAGTAGATCATGGAGAAAGTGTCAAAATATTCCATTTACCCTCAGATCTCTGCCAGTCTAAACTGTGGAACCAAAACACATTAGTTAGAAGGGACCCTCAAGATCATTTATTAGGATCAGAGATCTAGGGCTGGAAAGGACCTGAGAGGCAGTCTAGTCCAAGCCCCTCATTTCCCACATGAAGAAACTGAGGTACAGAGAATTTAAGTGACTTTCTCAAGAACACAAATGGGGAAGTCGCAATGCCAAGATGGCCAGTCAAGTACTCTTGCTACTCCTTCTTAGTGGAGGGTGGTAGTGGGGGTGGACATGGGTGATGAATAGCAGGAAGGGCTAAATGACTCGGAGGGAATGACACGGGGGATCATTGAAAAGTGTCCTAAATGAAGCACGTCTTGACATTTGAGTTTTCTGTGCTCTGGCAGAAGTGTTTGCATTTTATCCATGCTATCTGCCGTGATTCATGGGCAGATGGCTCCAATGTGTTTCCATTTGTCTGCTGACCACAGCTCCTGGTTCTTTCAGCTGGAGTATTTGCCATCTAGTCTAAGTGCAGATTTTTAAAATAGTCCAAAATGAACCAAATTCTGATGGGGGTATCTAGGTGGTCTGGTGGATAAAGTGCCAGGAAGACCTGAATTCAAATTCGGTCCTAGATATATGTACTAGCTGTAAGTCATTTAACTTGTTTCCCTCAGTTTCCTTATTTGTAAAATGGGGTTGTTGTGAGAATCATTTGTAAAACACTTAGCACAGCGCCTGGCATATAGTAAGCATCGTATTACTTGTTACTTGTTTGATGTTCAGTTTGTACACTACTCTTCATGACTCTGTTTGGGGTTTTCTTGGCAGAGATACCAGAGTGGTTAGCCATTTCCTTCTTCATCTCATTTTACAGATGAGGAAGTGGAGGCAGACAGAGTTAAGTGACTTGCCCCAGGTCACACAGCTAGTAAGTGTCTGAGGCCAGATTTAAACTCAGGAAGATGAGTCTTCGGGACTTTAGGCCCTGCACTCTATCCACTTTCACCACCTAGCTGCCCTGAAGTGCTGTATAAATGTTAGCTATTATTATTTAAAATGTTTAGCACAGTACCTGGCTAAACACATTTTAGCTATTATTATTAGTTATTATTATTATTTCCCCAAATCCTTGTAGTGTTTTCCCCTATCCTTAGGTATT